TAAAGACTTATGATAAGCTAATATAAACTCAAGTCGGAGGAAGCTCCAGTTTGAACCCCATTAATTTTCATTACATTACATTTCATTTTTCTCTCTTCTATTTTTAACCACACAATCTTTCATAAAATAGTATTACATGTAAATCGAAATTTTTTTTCCTTTTTTAACCACTCATTTTTCAAAAAAATACTATTTCACTCATTAATTTTTCTATGTAATGGGGGCCAATCAGGGGCGAAAGTATATGGAACAGGAAGAGTAAATAATGAGCTTTTAAATTTTTAATTCTTGGAGTCCCAGTTTAATAGAGGTTTTTCAAAATAAATTTCGTGAAAAATAATTTTTTAAAGAAGGTGTAAAGGGAAATTATAAATTCACGTGTAAAATTATAGTGTTTTGAAAATAATTTTTAGAATGTGGAAACCAAACATGCGTTTAATATTAAAACAAAAAAAGTTTAATTTTTTACTTCAAATTTAAATTTTTGTAAACGTCATTTTATATAGGATGATATTTTTAATTTTCATATGAAACCGGAAAATGTGTTAGAATTATTTAAATTCAAGTTTATTATGCATCGATGAGTAATGCTATATATCTAAGTAATTGATTATCAATGGTCAAGTGTCAATTAAGTTATTAAATGTGTCTCGTATCACCATATTAAGAGGTCTAATTACTTAATTTCATTTAATTGACATTTAGACTAGCATCACTAATTTTATATGTCTTTAAGTGATGTTAAATGGGACTTATGTCCCTATTTTATGATGATTTATTAATTAATGATATTTAATGTCACATAAATTGGTTTAAAGAGATGTCCTCATCTGATATTTAAATTGATTTTTGAAATCCTTGTAAATTTAGGTGTCTTAGAGTAGAATTTTAATGAATTTTATTAAAATGTATGTATAGTATTAGTAATTATTCGTCGATTTATAAGAATTTCATTAATAAAAAGATTTCAAAAAATCTATTTGAATTTCATTATTGCAAGCTTAAAAATATACAGAGCAAAGTTTATTGAAATTTTCATCATTCTTAATAAAATTATACGCAAATTTATTCAAATTCATGAAATTCATTAGAATTCATATATAATCTTATAAGATCCATTAAAATTCTAAAGATATCATTACTCTTATTCTTATCCAAATAAAGAGAAAAATAAAATGCAGGGAATAATTGCATTATAGTTCCTCAGCTTATTACTTCATTTGCAATTTGATCTTTAACATTTCATTATAGTTGTAAAATCCAAATTAGTCATAAAGTTGTATTGTGACCTTTAATTAAAATATGCATTTCTTCATATTTATAAACATCAGTCCAAGTTGCAAAGCAATACCCAACCTCAAGGTTTTAATAGATTTAGTCAATTAAATTTACTTAATTTGAATTTAAGATTATTTGTAAATTAATTTATTTGTAGGATAGTTTCCTTGAACTAATACATTTTGTTTATGAAGTATTTATAAACGACTTAGATAATATATAGATAGAAATGAGTAAAAGATAAGTGTATAGTATTTTCGTTATCTCGATATTTTGCATAAAATGTTAATTGATATATATTAACAGTTTATAAAACATGAGTCAAGTGGTGAAACTCCTACAAAATAATAATATTGGAATCAAGAATAATTATTACTTTATAAGGTTAATTAGTTTATCGATAAATAAATAATTTATTACTTATCGAAAAATTATGTAAAGTCATTTCTACACTTGAAAATTGTAATGATTGTCAATTACCTCTTGAATTACCCTAGTGAAAATGATACAATATATTGACGAAGATGATATTCAGAGGATACTGAATACACTTACCGAGAATAATCACAATTGAGATAATAATTGTATTTTACGAACCGTCTAAAAATCTTAAACCTTTAAATAATTGCTTTCTACAAAATGAAAAACATATACCCAATATGTATTTAGCATCTCAATCAATGATAAATTTCAAACATCCATATATTCTTTATCATTGTTCCAAATTTCGATAAAATACAATAATAGTATCACATTGCGAAATGACCTTTTCTAATCTAATAGGTTGCATAGTGTTTAAGATGCTTTGTCAACATTGTAATTAATGTACATAATTCTAAGTCCTTTGTTAGGCCACAAAAGTAAAAGCATCAATGAGTGACAAATTATGAAAATAAACACTGTTGAATTTTGAAGCCACACTCAAATCGCAAACTTGCACTTTAATCAAGGGAAAATTGCAACATCGGCACCTACCATATTAGCCTAGTAACACATTGAACACCAACTTTAGAAACAGACAATAAATTAATCGTCAACATTCGTCGTAGTTGTACAACCAATGATGAGAAGGATGATGCTATCTGTACACAACGGTGTACACCTGGGTTTACACCCCCTCTCCCTCACAGGGGAAATTGTTCTTGATTTAAATTAGTGTCTGCAAATTTGAAGTTAGGCAAATTTTCAGAGGACAATGTGGCAATATAATGCAAATATGGACAAATTAGACATGCGAAAGGATTTTGAACTTGTAACAAATTAGACATGCGAAATGGTGTTTAACATCAGTTCATGTTACAATACATTTAGCCCCTGTTTGGCTCAAATTTTAATTTTAGTCAAAGTCAAACAATCAATATTAATCACATTTTTCATGGATTCCACAATTTTTTAACTACAAATTTCAAAATTTTTTATCAAAATTTACTAAAAAATATAATTTTAATCCCCACCAAACACTCTCTTAATGTGTTCTATGATATATTGACACTTAGATTGATGTTTCAAGACCATCGATTCTGGATATCATTTTTTTAGCCATCTAAAGCAAGCAATTTTTTTTTTTTTTTTTCCAATTAATAGCTTATTGGAAAACTTTAGAAGACCCTGCAATAAGTGCTTATAAATAACGGTACCAGGTACTTTTTTCATGGTCCAAAATAATAAAATGGGGATCCCTCACCCTCAGTATAATTGTGACTCATACATTATCAACATGTGAAAAAAAGAGAGTAATGCTATTCATTATAGCTGGTGTTAAGTACTAATCTATGTGGCAATTACATAGAATTAAATGATAGACTCATTTAAATACAAAGTCATATAACTTCTTTAATTCAATCTTTAAAATGTAATCACTTGAACTAATATTTTAATACTATTGATATTAAATAACATTATTTTTATAAAAAAATAACTTTTAAACATGGTCATAAATTCAATTGACCCAATACTTGTTGTAGGTCCTACTTTTTGTGGCTCGAATTAAACAAATTATAGGTACCATGCATTAATTATGATTCTTATTCTCTCTCTCTCTTCTCTTTAAAAAAATAACTTCTAAACATGACTATAAACTACTTTTGTTTTTCAATTTTGCTACACGTACATCGGGGTTGACACTTCGGTGTACACTCCCTTCACATGGGGTATCTCAAGATTTTTTTTATTGTCATGGAGCATATCCTCTCATGTGAAGAGAGTGTACACCGAAGTGTCAACCCCAATGTACAAATATCATTTTCCTTTGTTTTTTGGATCCCACATTTTTTTAGTTCAAATTAAATAAATTTTAAGTCTCAAGAATTAATTATGACTCCTAACTTTTCTTTTTTTTTAATTATTTTTAAACATAGCTATAAACTTGGACCCCACACCCCCAACAAATATGTATCTGACGACTGTCAGTCAACTTCTACCAGCCATTCCCACCATCTTTCTCTTAGTACTCCTCTTCAATGCCTCTCCGTTCTATCTACTATTTTTAATGAGGAAGACCCCACCCCAATTAATACTTTAAAGAACAAACCAAACAGCCATGGAAGTTGCAGACATGTCGAATCCTCAATCTTCTCTTACCAAAGATTTTCTTGCCAGTCCAGCTCTCTCTCTCAGTCTTGTACCTTTTCCACATCTGCTTTTTTTTTT